ACGAAGTTCCTCTACAGAGAGTAAACCAATTTAAATATCTAGGGCACAATCTGACTGCCGACCTCAAGGATGATAATGACATCGAACGGGAGCGAAGGGCGCTGTCTGTACGTGCTAACATGATAGCTCGCAGGTTTGCACGTTGTTCGGGTGTGGTCAAGATCGCATTATTCCGTGCATTTTGTACCTCATTCTACGCGTGTAGCCTGTGGGATCGTTTTACACTAAAAGCATACAGCGCCCTTCGAGTTCAATATAACAACGCGTTTAGGGTGCTGGTGGGGTTGCCACGTTTCTGTAGTGCTTCAGGGATGTTTGCAGAAGCCCGCGTTGATTGCTTTTATACAGTAATGCGTAAAAGATGTGCGTCCCTGGTACGCAGGGTGCGGGGCAGCACCAACAGCATTCTAAAAATGATCGCTAGCCGAATGGATTGCGCGATCGTGAACCGGTGTTGCAGACTCTCTGCTGGACCTGCAGCATAATGCCCATGTATGTGCCATGTTAGGTACCGGTTCATGTCATTGTGTTTCGTTGTGTTTTTATTTTTCATTTACTAACATAGTTATAAGTCAAATTGTTACTAACACTATGAGTTTTGTTACTCGATGAGAAATGAATAAATAAAAAATAAAACTGAGCAATATTCTTTTCTATCACTTTTTCCTGAAAGTTTTCCTGTTAAATCTAAATGAACTGTGTGCCAAGGGACTGGATTTTTAGGAATGGAGTGCAACTGCATTTGCTGGGCACCTGAAGGACCTTTAGAAGTTTTGCATACTACACAACAGTTAATGAACTTTTTTACGAATTAAGCCATATCAGGAAACCAATAAAACTCGTAAAGTTTGTCTAAAGTTTTGTCAAAATGTTTTATTTCATTATGAACATGGCTAATGAGGGACCAAATCAAAGAACGGGGCACAATAGGTAACCAACTAGAAACTCCTCTACGCTCTATCTTTCTATACAATATACCCTGTCTTAAATCGTACGTATGTGATATCTCCTCAGGTAATTGATTATTACGTATTTTCGATATAATTTCCGAAAGTTCTGAATCGCGTTGTTGTTCTACTTTTCATCATCATCAACAGCCTTTAATTGTCCACTGCTGGACACAAGCCTCTCCTTAGAAAGGAGGGTTTGGCCTACTATTCTACTTTTAGCCAACCTATATCTAACTCAAGAAAATTTACTTTACGGGGTTCCAAATAGCTGGTGTTTGACAAATTATATGTTTGGATAAAAAATCTGCATGAGCCATCTTTCGACCTTCTTTGTACACAATGTCAAAATCGTAAGCCTGTAATATAGCCCACCAGCGGTGAACCCTTGGAGTCAAGTCACGTTTCGAGTGGGAAGACGAAGACGAAAATGTTCGATTGCTTTTACTACGGCGAAGGTTTCTAACTCATAAGAGTGATAACGCGTCTCTGAATCTATAGTCTTTCTACTCGTACTATAATATGCTACCACATGAGGGGCATCATTATGTTTTTGGATAAGTATTGCACCATATCCTTCACTACTTGCATCGGTATGGAGTTCAATGGGCAAGGTAGGATCAAAAACTTTTAAAACTGGTTCGGATGTTAAGATATGGATTATCCTTTTATGTACTTGGTCATGCTCTGGGGTCCATCTAACATTACCCTTTCCTTTTGTTAAGGGATACAAAGGGCGAATTATTTGGGAAAAGTTAGGAACGAACTGCCTAAAATACGTAGCTAACCCTATGAGCTGCCTAACTTGGGTAACAGTTTTTGGAGTTGGGACATCAACTAAGGCTTGTATTTTTTTTTGGATTTGCTCTAATTTCCCCAGCTGAGACTATATACCCAAGGTACTCAGTTTGGATTTTCAGAAACGAGCATTTCTTCAAGTTGAACGAGAATCCTGCATTGCCCAGTGTTTCAAGTAATTTGTCTAATCGATTAAGCCCCTCATCAATATCTTTTGTAATTGAAAGTATGTCATCCATAAAAACTAAAATCTTTTCGTCGTTCATAGGCTTCAGAGCAATATTAATAGCTTCTCCGTCACGAGAGTGTTCTTCCCAGACGCGAGAAATGCGTACTGCCTGGTGCAGAAGATCCGGCCCCAAGGCGTTGCTACGCAGATACTAACGGGACATGGGGGGTTCTCCCAATACCTGCATCGCTTCAGGTGTCGGGAGAGCCCGTCATGTATCTGCGACCCAGCACAGGACGAAGACGTCCTGCACATTATTTTTGACTGCCCCGTATTCGGGGCTCAACGACACGAAGCTGAGCAACGCCTTGGAGTGAAAATCGAGAAGAAAGAAGCACACCATCTACTGGAGACAAAGGACATAAGGCCGCAATTTTTAGAATTCGCTATAAAAATTTGCAAAATAACAATAACCAGAAACCAGTGAATAAAACAAGACGTAATAAGAAACAGAGCTTACCAAAGACTCTTGTCATGCAAGAGGTTGACAGTTTTATACACTGTGGCGGTATAGATATCACAAAAAATGAAATAACAGATAACACGGTTCAATATACGTCGGTTAAAATAAAAAAATAAAAAATTAGTACGAAAATACAGAAATGCAAATTTAGAACAAACTAAATACAATAAAATAATTTCCGAATTAGAACACCATTGATAACATGAGTCGGTGAACTGTACCTACACGGCAGCGTCGCAATGTCGGCGACATCAAAACGACGCCGCCGCCGGCGCCGCCGCCGCGACGAGCCGGCGAACTTTACATTCTTATTACCTACCTACCAATCACTTCACTTGCTTTTAAAAATCTATTTATAAAGAATGCGATTTTATTCACGTGTTTATTTCGGGAATGCTCGACTAGCTTCCGACCCAGCAGTACGCGTCACTCCTTGAAAAAGTAGGTACCTTGGTTGTCTCGTAATCTTTGTACCGCCTTTACAAAAATTCGGCAGTCTGTAGGACATACACGATTGACTCCATACGTGTCCGTAAAGCAAAAGATGCGTTGTGATAGAGTTTTCCATAAATTAACATCATAGCAGGATATTCCGCGGCTGTGAAGGTCACTCACGGCATTATGGATGTTGATATCGATAACCCAATAAAATTAAAAAACTGATAATGCACTCAGTTTCACACTACACTACACACAGAACCTAATAGTGACTTTTCAAAATAAAATTAGCAGGACTCCTTACATTACGAAGTCTTGCGCACACGATAACATTAATTGTTCACACCATTGCCGTGTATTATGACGAAAGCAATAAGACTAAACAATTATTACCACAAGAAAACTTCTCTAAACAAATATGTATCTCATAAACAACAACAATATTATTATTACGGTTATTTGTCGTGAGCGCATCTACAAGGATACGGAATAGCATAAGCTCGCCGGTGGCCAAGGGCCGACTGACTGTCCTTACTGGATGAACTAATTAAAAACGCGTGTTGCATCGTGATGACGTAATAATCAACATATTTCGTTCGATTCGGGTGTAGTAAAAGCGGCAACGTGTGATTACCGCGCCGCTGATCTATACCTACAGCTGATCGCCGCCTGAGGTCAATGTATTATGACTGCATGTACACATGATGTTGCAATTTACGAAACACAAAAATGAGTCCTGTGGCTAAACTACTGGATATATTTTGTTCATATTTTGCAAATCGCCTAGAAATTAAGGGTAGAATATGTGGCTTAAGTATTTGTGAAAGGAAATGAAACTCTCTGTATAAAAAAAAAAAAAAAAAAAAAAATATTAATAGCTTTTAGAAAAATAGAAGGGGCATTGGGTAACCCAAAATTGTCCTTTTGCGGTAACAAATGCAGTTTTTTGTGTGGAATCTTCATGAACAGGTAACTGATGAAACCCAGAAGCCATATCAATACTGCTAAAATAATGAGCACCATGAAGTTTATCAATTTATTCATCAATCAAAGGTAGAGGATAATGATTCGGTTGAGTATTACTATTCAACTCCCTATAGTTGCTTAATTTTTTCATCCACTATGTCAGATTCTTGAGGAGATAATCTATACGGTCTCCCATGCACTATTTTATGAGGATCAATTAAATCGATTTTCAACTGTCCCGTTTTAATTATAGTTGTAGGAAAATGTTCAATAAAATTGTCCGTGTATTGAGTTAATATGTTAAAAAGCTTTACTCTATCAGTTCCTGTCAGGTCAGCATTAATTGAGTCAATGTCAAATATAGGTTTGGTTTTGGTACACATATTAGATACCTTACACCGCTTGAATGTTAAACCGGTCTCCGAAATCTCAACAAGAATATCGCGCTCAAGTATATCTCTACTTAATAAAATAGCGTCGCGCAGACAATCATCTGGAACTACATGAAGCGTGACGCTAATTTCAATACTTTGGATTTTTATGTCACAATTAATTTGCTCCGTGCTACTAACGACACTGTTCCCAATACCAGTCATGTTGATAAGGTCGCGCGATCTTTGTCCATTAACAAGGGGTGAAATATTTTTCCTAACTAAACTACACTCCGAACCAGAATCAAAAATAAAAGGAAATGTCATACCACTACAATCTAGAGCACCTCTAACAATCTTCGAGCACACCTTGACTTCCTTGCTTCCGGTAGCGGCTTGTTCCTTCTTCGTATTGTCAACCCTCTGTTGAATATTTAAATATAATGCAAAAATAAATACATTATAAATAGATATTAATCGAATAGTTATAATCGATATGTTGTGTTGTCAATCCGATAGTATAATCGTTCAGCATTCACTCGCCCACTTCACTTGACCTGTGATCATGTGCTAGGCAAGACGCACTTACCTTCCTTGTGACTTATATTCAATAAACAAATAATATTCAGAAGTATCAATGTGTTTTTGGTTCTTAACCTCCTACAGGTTATGGGCCCAGTATATTTTGCTAAAAATTATTAAAGGTGTTCGTAATTTAAGCTAGTCAGGTGTTCTACCCACATCGTGAAAAAAAGGCTAAGTATTCTTTTTTTTTGAAATTGTTTATAATGGAAAACTCAAAGCTAAAGCGTAATATAAAACCGTTTAATGGCGAGAAGTATAGTGTCTGGAAATTTAGAATACGCGCGCTTTTGAGCGAAATAGATGTTATAAGTGTAATTGATGAGGAAGTACCCGCAACGCGGAGTCAAGAGTGGACCACAAAGAATTGTATTGCTAAAAGTACTATCGTTGAGTATTTAGAAGATTCTTATCTTGGTTTTGCTAAGGAAGAAATAACGGCTAAATATATTTTTAAAAATTTAGATGCCCTTTACGAACGAAAAAGTCTCGCGACACAGTTGGCTTTGAGAAAACAGTTATTGTCTCTGAAATTACACGGTGATACACCACTAATAAAACATTTTACTATTTTTGAAGATTTGATTATGGAATTATTGGCTGCCGGAGCCAAGTTAGAAGAAACTGATAAAGTGTCTCATTTATTACTTACACTTCCGGCGACATATGACGGTGTCATAACTGCGATTGAAACATTGTCAGAAGATAATTTAACACTGGGATTCGTAAAAACAAGACTCTTGGATCATGAAGTTAAACTAAAAACAGAAAGTCGTGATACGAGTATGAAAGTTTTACAGATTGTAAATAAAAACGAGATATTTAAAAGAAAAAGGAACGAAAATACATATATAACAAATAACTACCCGCATAAAAATTGTAATCAAAAGGCAAAGAGGAAGATACACTTTCTAAAATGCCATCACTCCACCACTTTTTTTTATGGTGGTAAATTCACTCCGATGACTGCAGTGAGGGCCCGGCGCTGCGCCGCCCATGCGGGGCAGACCGCCAGCGTGTGCTGGGCCGAGTCCTCACTGCAGTCGCAGTGGTGGCAGGCGGGACTCAGTTCCCTCCTAGCGACCGTGTGCAGGTACTTTCCGAAGCAACCGTGCCCGGAAAGCACCTGCGTCAGTCGGAAGGAAAGGGTCCCGTGCTGCCGCCCTGCCCACTCGGCGATGACCGGCTGGAGAGCCTCCACGGCGGCGAAGCCAGCGCGTGGAGTCTCCAGCCGGAACGACCAACGAGCCATCGTGGCTCGGCGAGCGGCTTCGCGCCACTCGCGCACATCCTCGGGCGGAGGGCGAAATCCGCTCTCCGCCCGGTAGTCAGCCACTCGCCGATAAACTTCGGCGAGCACTTCCGCCTCCAAATCCCACGGGGGAGTTCCGGCCAATGCGCATGCCACCTCCGTCGAAACGGTGCGGTAACCGCGTATGGCTCTGACCGCCATTACCCTCTGAGGGCGCCAGAGGCGTACCCTATTCTGGGCGGTCAGAGCCGCCGCCCACACCGGTGCACCGTACAGTGCCATTGACCGGACAACCCCCGTGAACAGCCGTCTTGTCGCGACGCTGGGTCCACCCATATTGGGCAAAAGTCGCCCTAGGGCAGACGCAGCGCCGACCAGCTTTGGAGCAAGCTGTCGGAAGTGCTCGTCGAAGAGCCACCTCCCGTCGAGGATCAGGCCCAGATATTTCATCTGGGCCCGAACCGGTACGAGGACCGAGTTGACCACGATTGAGGCGCCAGGGGGTGGACCACGACGGGGCCCATGGAATAACAGGGCCTCCGTCTTATCTAGGGCCACCCGTAAGCCCAGCGCCTCAATGCGCCCGACCACCAGGGAGACTCCCCCTGTGGCCAGGCGCGCCGCCTCTTGGAAGTTTGCCCCCCGGGCTGTCACGAGGGTATCGTCTGCGTAACAGATTACACCCAGCCCGGGGGGGAAATCGGCGCGAAGGGCCCAGTCGTACCCTATGTTCCACAAGAGGGGTCCAAGAACAGACCCCTGTGGAACACCGCACGACATGGGCCGACACCTCAGATTACCTTCTCGGTCCTCGTACACGACGGTACGCTCCTCTAAATAGTCTGCCACCAGCCGCCTCAGGTACTTTGGCACCCCATGATAGTGGAGTGCTTCCCTGATGCAGCTGAATGGCAGACTATTGAATGCGTTGGCGATGTCCAGTGACACCGCCAACAGCACGCCGCCACAGCTCACGGCCTCTTCGGTCACGGCCCTCAGGCGCAACACGGCGTCGACCGTCGAACGCCCCGCCCGAAAACCAAATTGGGCGTCCGACAGATCGGGGCCCACCTCGCAGAGGTGCCGGACGATGCGGGCAGAAAGAACCCTCTCAAACAATTTGCCCGCCTCGTCCAGCAGCACGATGGGCCTATAGGCCGCGACCGAATCGGCAGGCCGTCCCGGCTTCCTCAATAGGACCAGCTTCCCGCTCTTCCAGCACTCAGGGAAGCGTCCCGACGCCAAGCTAGCGTCGAACACCTCCCCGAGGCGGTCTGCCATGTGGTTGAGGGCCAGGGCCAGCACTCGGGCCGGTACCCCGTCTGGCCCAGGGGCGGTGTTCTTGGAACGGATCCGTAGAACAGCCGCCCCTACCTCCGATTCCCGGACGGGCGGAACATTGTCCTCCCCGTGCTCCCCGTCGTCTCCGGCCAAGGAGGCCATCGACGGGGGAGTGTGTTCCGCCCGTTGTGGGAAAAGGCCCTCAACCACTTCTCGCAGGAAGCTGGGCTGGAGAGTCTCCGTAAGGGGGGGGCCCGACGCGCGGAGCTTTTGTCGCACCGCGCGGTAAGGGCGACCCCAGGGGTCACGATTAAGACCCTCCAGCATCTCCTGTCTTTTTTCTTCTTTGGCGCGGCTAATGGCCAGCTTCAGAGTTTTCCGAGCCCGTCGGTACTCCTCATGAAGCCGGTCCTCCTCACCGTCTCCACGGTGACGCCGCCGACTGCGCGTGTAGGACCTCCGGGCACGTGTACAGGCCGCACGGAGGTCCGCCAGCTCCTGGGACCACCAGTAGACCTCCTTCCTTGGAGGCCGACGACCTCGAACGCGGGGCATGGCCGCATCGCATACATGCGTAATCGCATCGCGAAAGCGGCCAGCCCCCACGTCGACCTCCTCGGTCGGAGCCTGAGGAGACAGCCACGAGTGAATTATGGCTGCCTCCTCTAGTAGGTCCCGGTTCAGCCTGGCAACAGCCCACCGCGGAAAGCGGGATAAACGCCGCGCCACGTGACCCCTACTGGAGTCCTGGGTCCGGGAGAGCTCAAATCGGATGTACAGGTGATCCGAGAGCGTCTCAACCTCTTCCAGGACACGCCAGTTCCTTACTCGTGCGGCGAGGGCAGGGGTAGCGAACGAGAGGTCCACTATCGACCCCCCCTGCTGTCGCACGCACGTGTTGGTGGAGCCTCTGTTTAGAAGACAGAGGCCCACCGAGGCCGCCCACTCCTCTACGGCCTCGCCCCTGGCGTCCGTCCTGGGGGAACCCCACGCAATGGACTTTGCGTTGAAGTCCCCCAGCACAAGGACGTGCCCAGACGCTAGTCGCCGTTTCGAGGTCTCCAAAGCTGGTCAGGAAAACCTCGAAGTCGTTCAAAGGGCTGGGGAAT